ATAGTGTTCTTCATTTAACAATTATACTTTTTTTAAAAAAAATTAAATACAGATTGAAATCAATGCACTTTCCCGCTTATTTGATAAAACAGTAAAATGAAGAGCAGATTTAGTAAAAATGCTTGAGTACAGGTACTTGTAATTGAAACAGCCAGCAGAGGGAGTATAAAAACAATTAAAAAACCCTCAAACAGCCCTTTACTTTTTATATATTTTTACTTATGATTTTAGCTTTCTTTTAGAATATGATAACAGTGTCAGCAGTGTAAAAATTAGAATATTGAAAAAAAAATCGAATTTTAAAGTATTAAACGTAATGACTTGAAACTAAAATACTATTTAAAGTAGCATTAAAAATTCAGCTGATACTAGACTCAAACTGAAATATGATTTTAAACAAAGGCAAGGTTAACATCATCCAACAAGCTGCATAAGCCATTTCCAAATTATAAATCCATTCATTCACAGACTCTCATTCCTAATTTTCTGAATCTAAAATCGACTTCATGATTTGATAATGCTGAGAGAACATTAGGCACGATCTAGGTGTATTAGAATACATCATAAAATCTTAAAACTAAATAAAAGTTACTGTTGTATTGATCTGTACAATAGACAATATAAAAGCAAGTCAGTCAAGTTATGCCCTAGATCATTAGTGGAAATTTACATTTACATGACTGTTTCAAAATCAAGTCACTAAGTCATATATATGCCAAACAAAAACTCATCTTTACATTTCAGGTTTTCACCATATCCAACTGATATGTATGGCTTAAACATAAGCAAAGGGAATAAGGACACAAATGGGGTGAATGGAGCTGCCAGCCTTGTGTTAGAATCTTAAATGAGCTGCCATCCTCCTCACGCAAGTGGCAAGAAGAAACCATCTCCCAACTCACCTACACTATCCCACTGTACATAATCACACCTTCCGCAGTCCATTTTACAGGAGGAGCAAGGTTACTGAGTTAACAGTGAAGGTGCTTCCTCCTTTCTCAAGGTTTATGAGCGCTAGGTAACCCCAAGCCATCAGGCAAACAGAGGCAGCAGAGCTGAGGAGTCAAAGGGACAGAGGATTAGTTATTTCAAATGTAAACTGAATGTCTTATAGACAACCATTTGCAAAAATACCTGACTTGGACAAAGAAGCCCTTCTTCATTGTTACCTGCTTGTGCTTACATGGTTTTCATTCTCTTTCCATGCCATTCCTTGCTGTCTGCCCTATATATTTTTCTGTTATCCCACTAAAGAGAATGGCAGTGTTGCAGACCAGGATACTTGGTATTCCTGCATGGTAATGCAAAATGTGATACTATGAAACACCAGTCCTGATGGGAACCACTGAATGACACCACTTAACTATATATCACTTTGGTGACAATTTTGCTATCAATGAACCAGAATCCATGGCTTGAAAACTAGGGACAATTCCATTTTTTACATCATCTAAATTTTAAGCATGATCTAATTGTACAACTAACCCTGTCCACTTTTACACAAGGGATTCATCGCTGAAGATCAGCAATTGGCTTAAAACACCCTGACTGCAAAAAATGAATACACAGACCAGGAAAAATGAGAGTCAAGCCAAGATTAACTTTCACAGTAGTGTAGGTAACAGGAATAATTTTAACTTTATTTAAACTTTAATGGCTATTTTCTTCCAGAACTACAGATCTTACTGCATCCATTCTTTCTTAAAGTACTATTTAATCAGAAAATCTTAGCACCTAGCATGTGACGGTACAGGATAAAGTTGCCGCATCTCAAACAAACAAACAGAAAAAAGACAGAAAAAAAGGTAACTGTATAAATTAACACCATGTTGATAATTTTCCCCCAAGCAGAAAGTCAGCTTACTGTAAAATAGTCATACCTGTCAGTAGACTCAAGGCACACTAACACACAGATGACACGTGCACCTTTAGAGACCTTGACCATAGAAGAAAGATGTGATGCTCCCCTAAAGGTAAGACATTTCCCAGAAACCTGATATACTAGATACCTGGTAACTTGCAGTATCCTAAATATGACAGAATTCCACTGGACTATTGATCCAGGATGTTCGATACTAGAAGTTTCTTAAAACACCATGTTATGCATCAAGATTTTAAACAGTTAAGAAAAACAACTCACACCACACAAAGTTCATTTAAACTTCCGCAGTCCAGTGCTTTGTTGGGAATATTGAAAAATAAATGAGTCAGATACAGCCCAAACTGAGTATTGCAGAGCCTAAAATTTTAATATCAAGAATCTTCTAACAAAATCCTGGAGAGCTCACAGGTTGGGGAGCTCAGAAGTGGCAGAAGAATACATTTCTAGCAATTTCATTTTTTTCCACTCGTGAGGATTCTGTTAAGTCACTTTTAAGTCTCCTTTCCAAGAGGGCTCATCTCAATTCTGTTCCCTACAGAACTCCTCAGTTTCTCTGAAAAAATATTTAGACTTTTTTTTGTCTCTAAAGTCAAAAAATGTATATATGTATATAAGTACGATTTAGAACCTAAAATATGGTTCAGAAAACAAAACCTATGAGATGTAGAACATTATCTTCATTATTTTACATGATCTCATCATCTTCAAAACAATGACAGCCTTCCGGTTGCACTGTAACCAGCACTGTGCACAGTACTCCAAACAGTTGACAAGTGTTCTTTGCAGTAGCTTCACTGGATCTGAATAGTATCTTGTTTGACTTCCCTCCACTCCTTTTTTCAGCCTGGTTTCCTAAGGAAATCAGACTTATGCAATCACTCAGGGAGGGAGGGAGGTGTACGCATATGTACATATGCAGTGTGGATGTGTGTCCATCTGATTTCACTAATACCTTTTGAGCCCACTGGCCAGTTTCAATCACATTCAAGAGAGGAGTAGAGATACAAGACATTTAAGTTCTTGAAAGCTGCATGATAGCAAGCTGCAGAGCATGGAAAAGTGTTTCCATAGAGAGAGAGGCTGCATGTCTTCTTAGACGTCAGTAAACTCACAAGGGAAAGAACAGTTCTGCTCCTTTCCTGCCTGCTGGAAAATCTTCAGTCAGAGGTCACAATCAGTGAAAGACGACCAAGTTTGTTGTGCTCAAGTATTCATAAAATAGCTTAGGTTGAATTCACCACTGCTTTTAAAGCTGTTTGGAACAGAGACAATGTTTTCCACATCATCTTTTTCCTCATCTAGCACAGGAGTGACTTGCCCTACATGACACATATTCCCTGGCTTGGTCCCTTGCTCCCAAGACCACTTATTTTAAAACATGCATGGCAGCACTCTACCCCCCTCAAACACAAGAGAAAATTAAAACTGCAAGAGCTTAGGATTTCCTTCAGGTCTCAAAACTAAACAAGTACGTGGCTCTGTAACATGATCAACTATTGAATAAAGTTTCAAAAAGATAGGGCAGCATATATATAATCACTTTTATTCACCTCTACTGTGGAGCACAAGTACTACCACAGTTGCAGGCTCTTGTGCTAAAGACAGCTGTAAGGCAACAAACAAATAATGAGATTTCAGAGAACATCTCTATAGTTCTTCTCACACAACCCCAAAATGCATATATGTGTGAACTATATACGATTCACCTGTATCCAACAAGCCACCTTTACCAAAGTATACTAACAGATTAAAATGCAAGTTTAGGGACACTTTAAGCCATACAAATTAAGGAACCGCCACAAAAAGAAAGAAATAGCCGCAGATGATTGAAGTCATCCTAAGCATCAAATTCTGAGCAAGAAAAGAAGTTTTTTATAAGAGAAAAAAAAATATTTCTGCCTGGATAACACGCTCCTCTTGGAAATTCATTCGTCCCATAACTACACCGAAGCCCAGCACATTTCCCTTCCTGCCGGTGGGGCACGGGCAGCCCGACCCCGGGAGGTTTCGGCCCGAAGCCGCGAACGCTCCGGGGCCGCCCCAGCCCGGGGGCGCCCACCCTGCGGGGCGCGGCGCGTCAGGGAAGCGCTTCGGAGCGGGGTTAGCGGCACCGGGAGGCTCGGGGCGAGACACCCGAGGGGGAGCCGGGCCGCGTCCCTGAGAACGAAGAGTTTCTGTCATGCGAAACCCCCCTTCCCGCTTTCATAGCCCGCCTCGGGGCTCGGGCCGCTCTCGCCGGGCTCCCGCGGCCAGCACGGGGAGGGCACTCGCCGAGCTCCGCATCGAGAGGAGGCCGAGCGGCTGCTCCAGCCCCACTCCCATCTCCCGGCAAGGGAAGAGCGCGGCCCCGCGCCCTTCCCCCGCGTTCGGGCTCGTTGGGAGCCGGCGAGGGTTTGGGAACGCCTGGCTGCGGGGCGCCCTGTACGGAGCCCCTCAGTACCCCCTTTATTTCGCCCTCCCCACCAGCCGGTCACTACTCCCGTTCCAGCGCCAGCCCCCCAGTAGCAAGGAGCACATGTTTCCTCTCCGGCTCCTGGCCCGCCTTACAACGAGCCACGGCCAGTGGAAGGCGGCACCCGGTACCAAAGCCGGATCAGAAACATGGAATGTGACCGCGCCTGGCAGATCTGACGGGGGATGCAGAAAGAAGCGATCCATTTCACCCTTTTCGGTCCTCCGTCGTCGCTTTTCTGTCAACTGCCGATACCATAATGCTTCCTTATTGTTACTTCAAGTAAGTAGGGGGGACAGTCTCCATTCCCCTACGTGTCATTCCTGAGCAAATTAAGCATGTACCAAGTAAAAGGTTGACATACATATACGTAGAGTTGTCTGATCCCGGAATGGTGCCGAAATACTCCAGGCGTTAACAGCCAGCTCCCACAAAGAGCACTCAGTTACACTGAGCATCCCCTTTGTCCGTGCATCCTCAATACACACCCGGCCGCTCCTCCATGCGTCCACGCACGCCCCACGTTTACGGCCCCTTTGTGTCCTCGCCTCCCCCCCACTCACAAAGAAATGCCCTTTCCACACGGCATGCACCCAGCCTCGGACACAGCCCTTCGCCCCCGAGACACGCGCGACCCGCCGCCGGGCACAGCGCTCCGGTACCTACTTGTATTCAAGAAACAGTCCGTAAACCTCCTAAAGCAGCTTGCAGAATTAGATCCATCTTCCATGTCTGGCCCTAGGAGCAGGGGAGACGAGAAGGAGAAGAAGGCGCCTCTCTGCCGCTGCTGCCGCCTAGGAGTCCTGCTCCCGCCGGGGCCGTCGCCTCCTCGGATCCCGTCGCCGCGGGCTGCTGCTGCTGCAGCAGCGAGGGAATTGCAGGACCACAGGCGAGAGGCGGCTGGAGAGAGGAGGGGCCGGGAGTGGTGCTGCCGAGGGCCGCCGGCTGCGGAACAGAGCAGCAAGCCCTGGATGGAGGAAGAACAGAAGAGTCTCCTCCTGCCGCTGCCGCCTGGATGGGCGATCAAGTGAGCTGCTGCTGCTGCTGCTCCGCCAACATCTCTTCCTCCTCCTCCTCCTCCTCCTGCCGCTCTCGTTGCCTCTCCTCCTCCCTCCCTCCCTTGGAGACTTGTGAGGTTAAAGGAAAACGAGGAGGGGAAACGAGGAGGCGGCGGCAAGAAGTAAAAAGAAGATGGAGAAGCGGAGGAAAAGGAGGGGATTGGAGCGAGGAAAGGAGCCGCTGCCGCTCTGGAGACGATGCTGGCGGAGACGGCAGAAGAGGCTGTCCCTGCAGCGCGGCTCCTGCTGCTGGTGGTGGTTGTTAGGAGGACAGAGAGGGAGCTGTAGGCAGCCGAGCCGCCTCCAGGAGCGGGGGGAGGAGGAGACCCGCCGCTGCCTCCACCTCCACCGCTCTGGCCATGGGAGTGGAGCGGGCGGCTGCCGGAGCTGGGCTTTTCCCCGAGTGCTGCAGCCAGGGGGGCCGAGGGGCGGGATAAGATCCGCTTCTCCGGGTTGGACATGCTTCCGCTCTTCCCTCCCTTTCGCGGTAGTTTAAGGCAGGACGTCTAGCGGAGATACCGAACTAAAGCGAAAGGGGAAGCCGAAAAAGGACGGAGCCAAACCAGGAGCGACCGCGGATCGGTCCTTCGTTCCCTCCGGCAACCCCCGGGCACTATCTCTTTCGCTCCCCGGCTCCCCGCCCTCATAAAATCCTCATATTTCCGTTCCCCCTTTAGGCCGGAGGGGACAGGGCGCTACTGACCGCTAAGCGGTTCCAATCCCCTTTTAAAGTCCGCTTTTCCCCATGCTCCCACCTCGCATTCAGAGCAAGAAAACGGCAACAATCTGTATTTTCTTCGAGCGAGGCAAATATTGCCCCGTATGTGCGCGCTCGCCTGCAAAGAGGCAGATACAATCACTGCAGTGCCGCTTCCAGCACCAGCCCCGGCCGCCAGAAAACGCCCACTGGCGGAGCCAGCGCTTCCCAGGCTGCCTCCCTCCCTCCCTCCCTCCTCTCATTGCCAGGCGCGCACACGGGAACTACGGCACAGCGGTTACCTAAAGGGAACGCGGGGAGAGACACGAGGAAAAAATCCTCCCTATGCAGTCTCATTATTTTAAACGTATATTTCCAGCCACTGAGATCAAAAGCCAGACGCCCTGCGGTGCCTGGTATGCAAACATACAGAGCTGCCCCTCTCTTTCTGTGGGACATCCAACACCGTTCCTATGGGAAGATGCACAGTCCCTCCCCATCACACGTGTTTGCTTCGGCTCCCTCCCCGCCCTCCACACAACTTGGCATACTGGCAGCCACCCACCCCTCAGCACCAGCCCCCTGGCCCCCCGAGGGGCCGTGGCAGACCCTTCCCTCAGGTGCAGCGTAGCCCCGGGGCTGCCACCGGCCTTGCCGCCGCTCGTCAGAGAGCCTGTCGCAGCGGCCAGCTGCCACCCCGCACCCGCGCTGAGGTCCCAGGGCATCTGGAGTCCCGCTCCGCAGCCCCCCTAGGGAGAGCGCCCCGCCGCCGCCGCCTCTCCCCGCCAGCCCGGGCTCAGCCTGCCCGTCCCGCCGGCACGGCGCCTCGGCGGGCAGAGGCACCGCGTCCCTCAGCGGGGCAGCTGCCGGGGGAACGACCGGCCAAGGGAAGCCCGAAGACGGGCTCGAATCGCAGCGGGCTCGAGGACCGCGCTGACAGCCCTGGACCCGCGTATTTCGTTTTCGCCCTAAACTCTCTCTTGTCCTGGGCGCCAGCGGCCGTCGAGAGGCGGGCGGAGAGGTCCGAGCACACCAGAGTTCACCTCTGGCAGTGGGGAAAGGGGGCCGGCATCGCCAATCGGCCGCGGTGTTCCCCTCAGCCCGTCCGAGGCAATCCCTTCGGGCCGGGCGGGACGGCAGCCGCCGTAGAGCCGACGCCCCGTTGCCGCCGGTCTGCCCGACGGAGCACCCGGGCTGCGGGCGGCCCTCCGCCGGCTGTCCTCCCGGAACAGCAGCTCGTGTCAGCACTGGGAACCGGCGAGCTTCGTTCATCTCTCAGCGGCCCGTGCAGTCCGTGGCGCGCCCCTGCCCTCTCCCCGAGGCGGCGGAGCTCACCTGGCTGGGGGCCGACGTGCCTGGCCGTCGCCTCCCCTCGCCCGGCGGGCAGCTGCCGGACAGCGGGGCTTTCCCCGCCCTCGGAGGGAGCGCTGGGGCTCAGTGCCCGCTGCCCGAGCGTAAGGCTGGCAGCTCTCTCGGGCACCCATGGCACCCACCACCAGCGCGGGGGGCACCTGCAGGGCTGGACTGAGGGGGGGTCGCGCACACCGAAGCACGGCGCGCCCGCGCCTTTCTCCCCGCAGGTACCTGGACGGAACGGAGGGAACCGCGCTCCTCGGCCAGACGGCGCGTCTCCCCGGCGCTCCCACCCGCCAGCGGGTGGAGAAGCGGGTGCCGCGGTGGTGCCCACCCAGCCGGGGCCGCCGCCGTGCCGCTTGCAGCAGATTTTGTTGCGATGCGCCGGGGCCCCGGCGCAGCCAGGGCGGGCGCTGCCCCGCGGAGCGCGGCTGGAGCGGACACCGCTGGAACCGTTGAAGGCAGTGGCGGAAAAGATGTTTCTGCGGTCGCTGCCAGCAGGGCACCCGAAACGCGGGAGATTCTGTTTTCCTCCTCTACCTTCCCGGAGATCAGATCTCTGTGCCGTCCGCCGCCCACTCCAGGTGCTGCATTACCGGGTCCAGGTGTCTGCGGGAGTACTCATCAAACTGCCGCAGTCTTCCTATTTCGCTTCAAAATTAGGCTCGCTCTTTCGAATTTCGACTCCTGCTTTGAAAACAGTATAAACCTGTACTTTTGGCTTTTATTTCAAATCTTTCAAGTATTTTATATTATTACTTCAGGACTTCTTTTAATGCTAAAATTCACACCAGCTCCTGTTAGAGTCTTTATGTATCAATCTGTAAGGCTGCAAGAGATGTTCCTCTGAAAATAACAACGCTTTCAAATTAAAGTGCATTTCCAGCAGCTGAATGTATTGTAACAGTGAGAAACAATCCACAGAGTCTGCAAAAGGTTTAAAATGCAAAAACATATTAAAGACTCTAATTAAACGAATAAAAAACCTGCAAAACAATACAAAAAAACTCGGATAGGGCAGATTTTACTAAACTGTTTCCATCTACATGGTTCTTAAAACCTGTTGCTTAAAAACCCTGAGCTGAAATGCAGAAAACTGAATCTGCTTTTGTGATTCACTTCCTCTTAGTATATTTATATGGCTTTATCAAAACAGTTTAGTAACTTCTATTTCACATGTCTGTTTGTGTGAGATGCTTTTATTTCCTTAAGTCCAACCATTGCATATAGAAGTTTTTTCGTGGTAAATGCTGCACAGTAACTCTCTAGTCATTTAAACATTTAACATTTAACAGCAAACATTTAAATTCTCCAAGAGAAGTCTTAGCTAATGGAAACAAAATTTTAGTGAACTGTGTTTTGTTATTGCAACCCATTTGTTTAGCAAATAACAACTTCTAATAAGAAGATCTCTAAAACTAAAATGTTTAAAATGAAAGAGATAATCAGACTGAAGTGACCGACAAAAAGCAAGAGCTACTCACCTGAAAAAAATTAAGTAACTCATTTAGACAGATTAGTCTCAATTGTTCTGTCAATACCAAGAGTAAATTTCGTCAACTTATAATTGGAGAAATCTTGTTTAACTATGTTAATCTGTGCTAAATTCCTCAGTTGCTGTCCACCCAAACTGTAGTTGTTCAAATATCAATGCCTGAAACTGGATATCTGTGTATTTATATAAGGCATGTCAATTGTGCATGTACAAATATGTATGTGTATAATCACCAAACCAAGCAAAACACATTTTGGGTTGTAAAAAATTATCAGATATTCTAGAAAAGCAGCTTTCAGGTTAAGGGTTATTTACAAACTATTTGTTAGATTATTTTTCATTGACCATTGGTAATTCATACCTGATTGGTCACCTGCTTCTTGGCTGGGCAAGCAAAAGCAATCACAAAAAAGAAATTAGATGACAGTGAAAATTAATTTTCAAGCTCCATAAATATATATTTGTAAAATATACTGATTTGCAGACAAGTTAAATATTTTTCATTGCCATCTCAATACCTGGGGATAAATTAGTGATGAATCACATTTGCTCTTCAATGTCAACCTGGGTTTTCATTGCTCAGTCAGCATCACCATTTCCATTGCCATAGAGAGATGAAGTCACTGATCCCACTGTGGTACTAACCATACACCCACGTCATTTACCAGAAAAGTCTCAGCCACTGCAATAGGAATTTTTAATATTAAACAGCGAGATTTGCTACATCATCCCCCCCTAAAAAGTACTTCTAAAACTCTGAAACACAACAAAATGCAAGTTAAAATACTCTGATGCATCCCCTTACATTTGGTGCAAGGGTTCTGGTATGAATGCCCTATGTCAGCTCAACCATGAGCAAAAGTCTTTAGTTGTATTTGCATGGGTAGATGTGATTTGATGAGAACTCAGGAATCAGAGTGCCCAATGAAGCCATGAGGAGGTCTAGCATGCATTGTACTTACAGGAACAGGCCTGGTTTGAAAGCAGCAAGTAAGTCTGTTTGTCAATAATTTGGTAATACTAGTCAGAATACTTGAAGAAAAACATTATGAGGAAAAAGTAAAATCAAGTTGTAACAAAGGTTGTTTGGTATTAAATACAGCTTAAACCCAGTATCTGTTCTTTCCCAGTTCTGTCTGCTCCATTATAAGAATGACAGTGAATCACTTTTTGTCTGGTCCCACTCTTTTGCCTGGTAAATCCTCTTATCCTTATATCCTGAGAATTCATTCAATGATATATAATCAATTCCTCGGGGGGGGGGGGGGGGGGGGGGGAGGAAGGAAAAAGAAATAAGACAGATTATGGGGAAAAGGAGTTTATAAAAATGTAGGCTGACAGCAGTAGAGGCGCTGATGCAACCAGCCACCTGAATGTGGGTAAGGCAGAAGCAGCCACAATGAAATAGAGACAAGGCAACCTGCTGGAAAGCTGGGGCAGGCAGAGCAAAAGGATAAATATGGCTAAAACCCAAGCTCTTGAGCTGAGTAAATACAGCCCCAAACACCCCCACCCCCGCCCCCCCCTTCCCTCAGGGATTTTCTGCTAAATAATCCTACAGAATATAGTAATTATCATCCAGTTACTGAATTATCACAAATTAGAAACCTCCAGAAAAAGACATTGTTTCCTGAAGTCTTATTCTATAAAGCTTTAGAATAATTTATAGAGAACTCCAAGGATCAAAAGAATTATTACAAAAGATTTTTCTCAAACACCGTACTCATGCAAGGAGCAAATTTGTTTTAAGGGTATGTATCAGCCATTTTCTTTGAATCCCACAAACACCCATCCAAGCCATCTCTTTTCCACAAGAATATTAACTTTGAGTGTTTGTAACATGCAAACATGTCCTAGCAGCCATCTTGAAAATGTTTTGGGGAATTACCTAGTCCAAGTGCAGAAGAAATTCTGGGAGATCCAAAATGAACTGCAATTCATTCAGGAAATCAAAATAACATATCTTTTAAGAAGTCCAGTTCTATTCAGAGATAAGTGACATATAGGAAAAGGAAAAAAAATAAATATCGTGCTTGCTTTCAGTAGTTTGTTCAGCTTTGCTCATCATAGATGTCACTTCTCTTTCTGCTTAGCTTTCAACATAGCTGAAAGGTTCTGTGGTTGGAATTATAAATGATAAAAGGTTCTCTAGAACCACTATGCTAGGTGATGTATGATGGTGGGTACATTAATAAAGCTGAGAAGATCATGTCTTTTCCTGCCAATTTTTTTCCTTTTAGAAACACACTAAACTATGAAAAGTTTTCAGGATTATTTTTCAGGGAAAAACTGCAA